GTTAGTTGCAAAGTCATGTCCGACCCATCACGACCCCATGGACAACGTTCCTCCAGGCCTTCCTGTCCTCTACTATCCTCCAGAGTCCATTTAAGCTCACACCGACTGCTTTAGTGGCTCCATCCAGCCCCCTCGTTCTCTGTCGTCCCCCTTTTCTTTTGCCCTCCATCTTCCCCACCCTTAGGATCTTCTCCAGGGAGTCCTTCCTTCTCATGAGGTGGCCAAAGTCTTTGATTTGTCCAGGTAGAAGGCCTCTTTTTGTCAATGAAAACAGAACAGTTGCCGTTTCCTGGCTAGTAAAGAGTAGATTGTAGATTTAGACTGAACAGCTGCCAGCTGCCTGCTGCACACATTCGGCCAAGCTTATTTAATTCTGGCCCATAATAACATTTAAATTAATCTTAAATAATGAAGATAATTTGACAGTCAGCTTCACTGAGCACTTTAATAAGACTCAATGACTGGCTTTGTTTGAATAAATAGGCAATTTTGCAAGCAGGACAAATGTTAAACTAGCATTATTTTTAGATCAAAATGCTAAGAGGTCAGAAACAATTACAGGCCGTGCATAGTGGGAATCACCAGGGTTTGTGTTCCTTCGGCTTTGACACTTGGGATAAAATTGCTTTTATTGCAGCTTACAGGCTTACGAGCACATTTCTGATAAGATAAGGGATAATGACGGAGTCTGCATATTTGACCAGAAGAGATTAGCACTGGGCGCAGAGACTGGGTGCAGAACGGCGTGGCCTTTTCTTTCACGCCCAATGAGAATAGGAAAGGTTTCAGAGACCTTAGTAACAGTATCAGCTACAAAGCATCCTGTCTCGTGGCTCCTTTTTAAAATGCAAAGGGATGAATAGAGCTTAACAAACAGGGAAGGGGAAGGCAAAATGTATTTATGCTGTGGCCCCAAAGTTGGACTTACGCTGGATCTTTATTTGAGGCAATTGATCCAACTGGAGCTGATAACATCCTATGCCACAGAGAGGAGAAGGGGGTCAAGCTATTCTCCAAAGCACCCGAAGGCCAGACAAGGAATAATAATGGATGGAAACTGATCAAGGAGAGATTCAACCTGGAAATAAACTTTCTGACAGTGAGAGCAATCAACCCATGGAACAGAAGTTGCCTTCGGAAGTTGTGGGAGCTTCATCCCTGGAAGCTTTCAAGAAGAGACTGGACTGCCCTCTGTCAGAAATAGTGTAGGGTCTTCTGTTTGGGCTGGGGGTTGGACTAGATGACCTACACAGTCCCTTCCGTTAATCTGTTATGCAGGCAGCATATTTTCAATGCTGAGCACATAATTTACGTTGTTTATATTTATACCTTGCATCTCCAACCCTCTGTAATCAGATTAATTTGTGGAGGGGGGTGTAACAAAATGAGTGATCCACATGATGCAGTCTAAGAACGGAGCAGGGCTTCCTAAAAGAACAACGTTACCCCTACTTGCTTTGAGCTGTTCATGGCAATGGGCCACACGCTCCTCTCACCTGAGGCAAGACCCCCAAAGTAGCCAGGTGCATGAAGGGACGTTTTCATCCCCGCTAGGATTACAGGTAGCCCTTGGCTTACGACCACAATTGAGCCAACGTTTCTGTTGCTAAGCGAGACATTTGCCAGGCGAATTTGGCTCCATTTTACAACCTTTCTTGCCACAGTCATTAAGTGAATCGCTGCTGTTGTTAAGTTAGTATCACAATTGTTAACTGAATCTGGTTTTCCCATTTGACTTTGGTTGTCAGAAGGTTGCAAAAGGTAATTTACATGACACCCCCCACCCCCACCCCAGGACCCTGCATCCGTCATAAATGTGGGTCACTTGCCAAGTGTCTGGATTTTGAGCACGTGATCACGGAAAGGCTGCAATGGTTTTAAGAGTGACAAATGGCCATGCGTCACTTTTTTCAGTGTCATTGTAACTTTGAATGGTCACTAGAGGAATAGTTGTAAGTTGAGGAGTACTTGTGCTGGTGGAGAAGAACTGTCTCCACGCCACTCTACCCTACAACCAAAGGATTTGAAGAACCCACGTTTTCTCTGCAGCTTCTTTGGGGAAGTAGAATAGGGTAAGTAGAATAAAGAATAAGGAACAGAATAGAATAAAGAAGGATAGGATAGGATGGAGGAGGAGGAGGAAGGAGAGGGGGGAGGAGGAGGAGGAAAAAGGAGGAGGAGGAGAGGAAGAGGAGGAAGAAGGAGAGAGAGAGAAAGAATAGAAATAGAACCTTGGAGGTCTTCTAGTCCAGCCCTTTGCGCAAGCAGAATATACATACCAGGGGTTTCAAACCAGGCTGGATGCATCATGTGCTGGCCCCGCCCCTGCCCAGTTTAGCGAAGGGGGAGAAGGTCCCAATACATCACGTGACAAAGCCGTGATGACGTGAGTTTGACCCCCGTGCCCTATACCATTGCAGAGAAGTGCCTGTCCAGTCTCTTGTTTAAAAACCACCAGGGACGCCCCCGATTCCTGGAGGCCAGCTGTTCCACTGGCTATGAGGCAGGGAGGCAACCTTAGCCACAGAATTGCTTTGATCTCCGCAAAGGGTTGCCTAGGCTTAACTAAGCCAGGTTAAAACGGAAAGCCGCATCGTTTTGCTCCGTCTCTGCATCGGATGAGGTGTGTCTTGTCTTTTCCCAGGTACGGATTGAGGACGATATTGTGGTGACAGCCAACGGCATGGAACTGCTGACTTGTGTCCCTCGTACGGTCGCAGAAGTCGAAGCCTTCCTGGCCGAGGCTCAGGGCAGCACCAAATCCTTTGCTTCGTCGTCTTCTAGCTAGGTGCCCACTCCGCCCTGGAGGTTTGGGGCTCCTTGCAGCCTGCCTTGCACCTCAAGAGAAGCCTGCTTGTTGCAAGGGAAAGCAGCTTTCCAAATCAAAGTCGATTCCCCCCCCCTTGGGAAGATATGGGGGGGGGAGCAACGGCACCAAATCTCGATTCTCCATCTTGCCTCTTGACAAGTTTTGCCCCGAATGACGGGTGTAGCTGCCGATAAGCAAATACAAGAATCAGTGCAACCGAATCCCGTTTCTTCTTCATAGCCAATAAAGAGCACAAGTTCTGCCAAATGAAATCAATGAATAAAAAAAGTCTTGCTTTGAAGATCGCTTTGGCCTTCCGTTCTTTTTCCGACCCTCTTTTCAGTGTTCAGGTTTTGAAAGGTTTGACGATGTCCCAGCTGCCTTAAAGGTTGGGGGTAGAAAGGAAGGCCCTCTGGTCTGCTTTGACCCCGTTTCCCCCCAACCCCAGGTCACCTTTAGCCAGAGAGAGAGACAGAGGGAGGGGGAGGGGGAGGGGGAGAGAGGGAGGGGGAAAGAGACGAGGAAGAGGGAGGGACTTTTCCTTGACTTTACGACCATTTCCAGTGATCGTCCTGAGTCATGAGACCCTTGTGACCGGACATTTTTTTTTTTTAGGAAGCAAAGCAAATTTCTGTGGCTGTATTTTTTTTTTTTTTTTTTGGCTGGAAACTGGCAAAAAATATTGCCAATTGTAGTCCCATGGCCACAGGACACTGCAAGTGGTTGCAAAGCTGAACAGGGTACCAAGTGCCCAAAATGTGGTCACAGGATCGCAGGGGTGGCTCATTCTGGGCCCATCATAATTTTGACCTATCGTTAATGGACCGTCATAAGTCAAGGATTTCCTGTAAAGTTTTACTTCAAAATAGTATTTTACTGCCTTATATACTTTAACCGAATTCCCTTTTGCTGTACCTTTTAAATGAGAAACCTGCAAACAAAAATCTGGAAAGAGAGAGATTTTTAAAAAGTATGGAATCTGTAGAACTAGAAAATTATACAAGAGAAATGAATCACAAACACCTTGAGTATGTACAAGACTTTCAGAAATATTTACAGAACACTTATGAGTAGGAAAGTAAAATGCCAAGGTATTAAAATACTAATTAAAAGAAGCAAAATGTGAGCATGCTCTGTGTTGCAATAAAGTTGTAAAAGATGGAAAGATGCAAGTAGCTTTTTAGCTTCTATGATGTAGTAGATAAATATTTATTAGGGATAAATTTTAAAAAGTGATGCTAAGAATGCATCAAGAATATGAAAAACCGAGTACGTAAATAAATACATTTAGAGATGAATGAAAGCCAGAATTGAAGAAGGGGAGCAAACAAGATAAATTGGGATCCCCAAATTAGATTAACTTTTCTCCTGGCATGAAAGAAAGTAGATATCCTACCCCAATAGAAGCTTCAAGTAAAATGTAAAATAAAAGTATGTTGCAAGCACTTTCAAAAAGTGGAAAAAAATATTTGAAAACTAGATATGACTGGCTTTTAAGGTTATTACGGTTATGGATTGGAAAATAATCTCTTACCTGTATTTTACAATTTTTAAATATAACATTTAGTCTACAAATGCATAAATGATTTATATAGTAAGACATTTTATATATAAAACATGACGTTTATTGGATGAGAGGGGGAGTCTGTAGGTTTTTTAAATCATTCTGTGTGCAATGATTCTTGCATAATATACTCAGGAATATTTTTATACCTCTCCAAGATAATCCATTCCTCTTCCTACTCTCCAAATTCAGTATTATTGGAACTGCAGCTTGTTAGCCTGAAACAATTAGGCTTCAAATAAGAAGTATTACAGCTTTACAGAAATATAGGTCAGCATGTTGTTGTAAGGCTTTTTATTAATATTTTCTACCACAATCGAGTTTTTCTAAATACATGTACAAACACAGTAACTTCAAAAAAGGGGGAGGTATAAAAGTCATTTTCACTAGCCCAGTCATACATGCAAACATACTATGAATGGAGAGATTGTGAAAGAAAATAAATTAATGATTCATGAACTTCCCTGCTCTGTTAAATATGTTTTCTTCTACTCAAATAAAAAATATATATACCACCAGCATTTGAAGCATCAAAAAGCCTCATGTTTGTGGCCACAGGATTGACATAAAGCAAAAGATGTAATTTTATGGACTCTGTTGGAAAGATGATCATGTATTTTTGGTTCACTGTGGAATTAAATTTGACCCTGGGTGGGTAATAGTAAGGTTTTGATTTTTTTCCCCTTCTCAATGAGCAAGGAATTCCTTCTGGTCATGAATCAAAAACAAAGCAGTTCTGCTATGGAACATTACAAAATTAAGACCTTGCTGAAGATGGGAGGAGGACACGATGTGGCTCATATTTATTTATTCATTTTATTAAATTTATATGCCACTCATCTCACTATCGAGACCAACTCTAGATATCTCATAATTACCTGGGGTTTTTTTTCATCCTGCCTTTATTTTTATAAACAGAGCAGCGAACATACCTAATAGTCCTTCCTCTTCCTCTTTTCCTCACAGCAACAACCCTGTTAAGGGAGCACGATTTTCGTGCTGGGACTGAATGAGAGTGACTGGCCCAGAGTCACCCAGTTGCCTTTCAGCTCTAAGGACTGCAATCCCCATTCCCCTGAGCCTGATACCTTCACCACTAAACTAAACTAGCTCTCAATTATTTTGAATGTTATCTGTCTCCAAACCATTGCAAACCTTGAAAATGTGACCTTGAAGTAGAATTGATCAAGCCACAATCACACCCCCACACAAAGCCACAGGGTTAGGGTCACTTATGCCTTTGTGGGAACCCTGCCCCAGTAACCTGTTCACCAAATAATAGTTTTAAAACTGCATGAATCCATCCAGTGATGAAGTGAAAGCCTGTATGCAGACCCCAATTTCCATCCACTCTCTAGGCAACTCATTTAGGGGTGCTGGGAAAAGCAGCAGCAGCAGCAGCATCCTGCCCCCCCCTCAAAAAAAGAAACAAAATTCCTGTGCAGACACTGCAGATAGTCATTGTAGTTGCCCAATTCCACTTGGCTACGGAGATGAAGGTGGGAGATGCTCCCACCTAGGGCAGGCCCATTTTCAGACCACAGGTAACAGACCGCGGGGCTTGGAGAAGCCCACAACCCTTGTGGTGTTAGCCAACCTTTCCCTTAACTAAACAATTTGTTAGGCACCGCTACTGAGCAAACCTCAACTACAGAAGTTTTACACAGCAAGTATTTGAACTACATATTTGAAAATCCCAACCTATATTACAAAATAAGTCATGCACTACCAAAATAAGTGGAAAAGGAAAAATTTTAAAGCTTGTTTAATCAACTCTTCAGCTGATTATCAGTATATGGACATTTAATTGCTACCCTGCTGAAGAAAAGCTGTCAACCGAACAACTAATTTAAGGCTTTCAACCATTTCATAAAGATAATTTGGTGAAGCATGTAAATTTGCACATGAATATCTGGGGATCGTTCACACTTACACATTTGCCTTGCAGAAATCACTTTGAAACAGGCACCTCTTCCTGGGCGAGATAAACTGGAGACCGAGAAGAATGTCTGTAAATTCTTACCTTAAAAACAATTTATCTTTTGAAAAAAGTATTGCCTAGTCATCATGCCCAGAAAAGATTTAAATAAGATTTAATAAACGATGCAGCCCTAATTTAGTGACAATAATTTGAGGTTGTTTCCCTACTCCTTTCATTTATCAAAAAGAAAAAAAAACCTGACAAGAAAATACATTAACACTTAATTTAAATACTTAACATAAACATTCAATTTCCTGGCATCAAACAGAGGGATAAGTCTACTGAAAAATGATGTTAAAAACCAGAGATGATACAAAGTTTAGAGCAGATTTGTCTCCATTCTATAATCCACCTGGTCAAGGGAAGTCCACACAGTTTATTGTCCGGATGCATCTGAATGTGCTGCAGAGTTTTCTGTGCCCAGAGGCTGCGCACTGTCTGTGAAGTTGTGAGCGTGCTCAAGAAACAAATCCTTCAGTACGCTCAGCTCCTTTGTCAGGAGCTTGATTTTGGCCTCCAAGCGTTCATTTTCTTCTTTCAGCTGGTTGACCCTCTGGAGGGTGTCCTGGGCTTTCTGCTTACTTTTCAAGCGGCTCTTTTTCACCGCCATGTTATTACGTTCCCTGCGCTGGCGGTATTCATCACTGTTTCTATCGACAAGGGAATTCTTTTTGCCCTGCTTGCTTGGAGGTGTAGCTTTGCCCCCACCGCCAGGACTAACGGGCACCAGCTGAGGGACTTGTTGCAACCCACTGGTGTGCGCTGGGGTATAGATGACACTTACTCCATTGGTTTCTGCAGCTGTGTTCTGTTGTGATGTCTTGCTCATTTGGACAAGCTCTCCTGTAGACCCAGTGTGAGTTATAAGAAAAGATATAGTCTGGGACGTCACGGTATTTCTGGAGCGGCTGTCCACAGGCTGCCACGCGGAATCTAGAAAGAAAAATAAGTTTTTCCTTTTTTTTCAAAATGTATAACGCCACATCCCCTCCTCAATATGATTTTCCATAAACATGTACAGTGGATGCCTGCCCTGACAAATGTCTTTTATATTTCCCAGTAACATATTTGGATTGTACTTCATTCACAGTTGTACCATAAGATGGACATTTTGCCCAAGGAGGGCCTAGCATTAATTCATCATGTTATTATACATGTAGTTATTGGTGAAACTAACATTAGCTTACACTGTGACTCAGTCATGGGTTGCATACCAGCGTAACATGAATATATCAACATCGGTTCCGATACAAAATTACCACCACTCATGCTAGGCTACCATCTTAAGTAGGTCTCTGGGCACAAGATAAATCAAGGCTACTGCTTCAATGGCTTTAAGTTAAAAGTGGCTGCAGCAGGATTAGAAGGCAGCACAGCAAAGTGAAATGTCCTGTTCCGTTGCTTCTAATGGTTAGCAAAATTATGGCCATTCAACCAAGTTTTCACCCTGAGTGTTTTCTTTTGTTCAAGCATCATTCCAATTTTCTGTTCTTCATAGGAACTACTTACACAGTTTCTAATCGTTATACCAAAAAATGGATATAATTAGTTGGATATAACAATGATAATGTGAATTAGAAATAGGCCTTTAGATCCTCTGTGGAAATGGAGCATCTCAGATCATCCAAGTCTAGATTATGTTCGGTGTATTTGCCACACCATGAAAAAAAAAAAAATTATGCAAGCTTTTAATCTGATCCCATCGGGTTCTTTTTTCTTACAAAACGGGGTGCCTATGGAATGAGGGCCACACGAAGGCAGGGGTACTGCAGCAGGGGTCCAGGAAGGCTGCTCCATCTCCCATACGCCAATGCCATTTGGAATTTATTTTAAAAATATCAGTCAAAAATCCCAACATTTTTATTAAACTATTGCTCAAACAGAGAAATGGACAAGCTTCAAAAATGTTAAGATCTGTTAACCACCAATTATTGAATCCCATAAGCTGAGTAATTAGCAACAGAGCTTAAGAGGTTCACTCACAATAAGGTTTTAATTTACCTTTCTGAAGTGAAGAAATCAGTATTGTGATATTCTTCTATCAATGCACATATTTTGGCTTCCAGGTGCAAGCAAGTTCAAAAATCATATGCAAAGCAATTTTTTTCTGGATTCTAGCTTAGCTTGCAAGCTTAAATTATTTCAAGGGCTTTATATTTTGACAGCTATACAGTTGTACAGTGAATATGATTTTCCTATTGAAAACTGCAACTTTATATCTAGGAAATCAACTCTCAAATGTAAATGCTCTAGTGACGGTCATGTTAGCCGCTTGATCTCATTCCTGCTCCCCTCTTAGGCAACCTCTCAGCAACATGCTGGGATGCTTTCAGCCATCACAAAGGGATCCCTAGTGGATGAATGTCTAGCCAGGCCTTCACTGTTTCCAATTTCACAACCTTCTCTTGGCACCAGTGCTTACTGTCTAACTTCTGCTCTATTTTAAAGATCTTCACCAAATTCTTTCCAGCTGGAAGGTAATGGAGGAAGGGGAGGGGGGAGGGAGCAAGAACAAGGCTATTTGGCCTTCTAAAATTTGAATGGGAAGAATTTTGCCCTCCCCCCCTCCTTTTCAAAGGGCCTCAGTTCAACATTCATCCAATATGGCTCCAGTACTATGTCACTAACAGGTAAGAGATGCTGCTTGGGCGAGAGCCATCTAAACTTCAAGCTCTCTAAGAATTAATTTCTCTAAAACACAAGAATGTGATGCAATGTTTAAGGACTTTGGGGGGATGAAACACACACACACACACCTCCATATGCTCAGACATACTGGCAAGAGACAGTATTCCAGTATTGTGGGAAAACAGTGTTATAGTTATTTAGTAAGTTTATATAACTACCCACTGCTGATGCTGAGTAGCATTGACAGTTTAAGCAACGCCTTAAAAACCATTAAAGAAAGAAATTTAAACAAAACCACAGGAAAGTATGTGTAAGGTTTTGCATATAAAGTAATGATTTTGCTGGCTCCCTATTTCATGGGGTCACCAAGTTTGCTGACAGGACTAAGTTTTAAGAGATTTCCTGGAAATCAATAGTCAGGGCTAATCTCACCTGGAAGGGGGGGTGGGTGGAACGATGCTAGCAGACACGTACCTCACCTTATCAGATGGGATAGGCAGATGAGACTGGGGGAGGAGAGGTGGTCCTTCCAGTGACCCATGCCATGTGCTAGGTAGGACTTTAAAGGCCAAAAGCAGTGCCTCGAATTGAATCTGGAAGGAAACTGGCTCATGAAGCAAAGGTATAAATGGGCACTTCTCCAGTCACGAATCTAGGAGGAGCCCCAGACTGAGCACATGGTCCATTTGGGGCAAGGCAAGCCCCACCCAGCAACCAAAGATAGTAAACTCCAAAATCTGGAAGCCTACAAAACCCCAAACCCCTCGATATTGCCAGGATTCTGCTGAAGCATGGCATTCCCCCACCCGGACTCCCACAACCTCCAGACAGCAATAGTACCGTGCTTAGTTTATTTGGGACAAAAGTGCACAGGTGGCTGGATATCATCAGCATACCGATTATACCTCCCCTTACGAGGATAGATAGCCTCACCCAGCCCCTTCTTCTAAGATCATCCTTCAAACAGGACTTGGATAGCGTACCAAACCCTGCAGAGCCCCATGCGGGAGGGGCCAAGTGTGGCAGCTCTCACTCCTGACTGGAATCAGCTCCACGGGGAGAAAAGGAGCCCCAGACAGTCCCACTTACTCCCAAGGCAGGGAGCCTATCCAGAAGTAGACTATGGCCAATCACATCAAAGGCTGTCGGGAGGCCCCACCCCCATCCTGCTCCTGCTGGAGGTCACACAAAAGGGCAACCAATGCCGTTACAGGCTCAAGCCTGGATCCTGACGTAAAGGACTCTAATCTCCATTTAATCCAACTACTACTATCTGCGCTAATTATGGAGGTGATCTAGTGACTAGGAATCAAAATGAAGACATTAATGCTGGCCTCTAGGACAGCGGTCGCCAAACCCTGGTCTAGGGATCAGAACAGAGCCACGCAAGCGGTGAGTGAGCATGTGAAGCTTCATTTGTGTAAGCAACCACACACACACGTGCTGCCACTGCCGGTCCGCGGAGCCGGAAAGGTTGGAGACCACTGGCTTAAATGGCAAGAGAGATAAACGCTTACGATCATTTGGCTTACGCTCAAGTATTGCCCAAATAGGGGCAGAATGTTTCCGCTCCAACTTTAACTATACAGGTAAGTCCTTGAGTTACAGCCACTCCTTCAGCGACGGTTCAAAGTTGCAGCAGCACTGAGCTAGAGGGATTTATGACGGGCCCTTCAAGTTCTCTTCATTGCAGCATCCCTGGGTCTTGTGATTGTGATCTGGGTGCCCAACTGGCGATTCTGACATTGTAGTAAACACGGTAATATTGTCGTTTCTGATGTTCTGTCTCCCCTGCTGCCTATTCAGGCAGTGGGAAGTTGGCATGAAGGTCGCACCTATTTCTGTTTCAACAGCTGCGCTTCCTTAGCCAGCTGATTTTCGGGTATTTGCCGCGCATGCACGGGGGTACATGCGGGATGTGCGCGCATGCACAGGGGCAGGGGCCGTGCATGCATTGCATTAAGGGTGCAGGTACACATGCACACGTGCACTTTCGGCACGCAACAAAAAGGTTAGCCATCACTGGCCTAGGTGAGGACTTATCTGCTCCCACCTGATCTGCACTCCTTAGTGCCTCCCTGTAGCATGCACCTGCCCACCTTTCTCCTCCCCCCCCCCCCACATCCGCTGGTTAACTCTCCACAATATGAGCCCTTAAGCCTGGGGTCTATGCTGGCTGGAGAATTCTGGGAGTTGAAGTCCACAAGTCTTAAAGTTGCCATGTTTGGGGACCCCTGGCTTAAGCACATTGATACTGCTTCGTATTTAAGTCAGATTAGATTCCTGCACTTGAAATTTCTGCCGTTTTGAGAAATTTGCAGCTAGCAGAATTTCTGTTATGAAACATTCTGCCACATTGAGCTCAAAATTACAGACTCTAGTCCATGGGCTGGATCCGGCCTGCGATAGGTTGCAGAGTGCCGTCCCAGAGACAGCGAGGGGCCAGCCCCTGCCACGGCCCCCGGTCAGTCATGAGGACCCGGCCGCGCACTCCCATGGGCAAACAAAATCCTGACAAGGCCCAAAACTGGATCGAGTTTGACATCCCAGCTCTAGCCACTTGTTTTTTAAACATCTGTACCAAAAAAAAAAGCAATCTGGTCAAATTGAACTTTCCTCAATCAATGATATTGGCCTTATTAGCCAGTCTCAAAAGTTATTGATATTGAATGTTAGAAAGGAGCCGATGGTGGAGTGAATTAAGAAAAGAGATTAACCATGGGAAATTTGTCGCTAGGAAGTAAGTTTGTCTCCTGCAAATTTGAAAAGATTAAGCCAGATATCCTTCGATCCATCAAGGAAAAAAAGTGACTCTTCTTAGACTATGATAGATGGGGAAATTGTGGCCATCTGAAATAACTGAAGAGCTATTAGTGGCCATCTGAACCAGGAGGTTCAGATTAGAGACGGAGGTTGAAAATGGTTAACAAACCCTGAAGGCCACATATTTCCTTCTGTGTATAAATGGGTGATGGGAAGGGGAGGGAAAATGCCTGTGATAAAAACTGATAGTAGCAAATGAATGAAAACCAGTAGGAAGAACATGAAAGATAAAGCAATTCTTTCATGTTTTAAAACAACACCTGTGCTAGTATTACCCGTCCCCTACAACAGAGGTCTCCAACCTTGGCAACTTTAAGACTTGTGGACTTCAACTCCCAGAATTCTCCAGCCAGCTCTGCTGGCTGGAGAATTCTGAGAGTTGAAGTCCACAAGTCTTAAAGTTGCCAAGGTTGGAGACCTCTGCCCTACAAGACCAAAATGCAGATTTAAAGTCAAAGAGGCTACAGCATTTTAAAGAAAGC